GTCAAAACTGGACACAAAAGACTACCTGACCAAGCGTCAATATGGTGACGCGGGGAGAGTGAGAATGCGTTGGACTCGCAGAGCTGCGAGTTTCTGCCGCKGTGTGGGACTGGGAACAGCTGCGATCCAACTTKACGCAGCAACAAATCTATTGTCTGCRTCTTGTGGAGCTGAGGAATCATCACAGCTGAGCTGTTCTGAATTAATCTGCTGAGTTGACAAWWTWTTTTTCTCAGTTAGAATTAAAATGTTTCTTAGACAATTCACACATTTTATTCTCCTGTGCTCTCTGCAGGCCTGCGCTCTATGCTTCCAACTACGTGACAACAATRTAAAAAGTTTACAGTTTACAGACTGGACTGAGGTTCTTTGACCATTTTTAGGCTGATCTATTTTCTTGTCTGAGGTTAAATGATCTTCAGTCCCGGGGTTCAGTTTCATGATCGTTGGAGTTTAAACAATAAAATCTCAAACTAAAATAAAAACCTAACACTGTTCAGACGCTCCTTACATCCAGAAAACACAACAGAGTCATATTTCTGTGGATTCAGGTCAGATTCATGACTTTGTGGGTTAAAACTGTCGACTGAAAAACTTTGCGTGGCTGCCGCACATTCTCACGGCAACGTTGGTTTTAATACATCCCAACGTGGGCGTAGAACCTGGCGCACGCAAAWTTTTTTATGCATAAGCACCATTTATACATGAGGCCCCTGGTCTGCAGAGTACTTGTGCCTGGCTGACTCAGGACACTACAGGACTTCTCAAACATGCATGAAAGTAAGACTCTGGACATGTTTTTGAAGAAAGGATAACATTATGATACAAAGATGGATGGATGGATGGATGGATGGATGGATGGATGGATGGATGGATGGATGGATAGATAGATTATTTATTTTAAATAAATAAACAAATAAACAAATAAATAAAGTTGATTTTACATGATATTGCCCCTTTAAAAGAACCCCCCCACTCAAAATCCTGGCTACGCCCATGTAAGGGTCCTAATAAGCATAGAAATACAAACGTGTGTGTGTGTGCGTCTTAAAGGGAYATGTCACATGGACCACACCAACATCACCGGATGATCCTGGTTGTCGACCCCTCGTTAATCCCCTTCTGACCGTCTCTCAGTCTGCTCTCACCCGTGGTTTGTTCAGCCTGGTCCTGGCGGGGTTTGGGAGTGTGTCCGGCAGCGGAAGGATGAAAGCTCTGTCCTGATTAAAAGCCAGGAGCACCGGCTTCTCCTCTCTTCCGTAGAGCGGTGGAGACTCTCCGCTGTCGCCCCGGCGGAGCTATGTGGAGCCCGGCGGCCAGTGTAGCCACAGTGCTGTGGTTATTTGTGGAGGTGAGCGAGCTGTTTGTCTTCGTGTTTTCAAAGGTTAGGTCAGAAAACGCGGTTCTGGTTCCGTTCTGCAGCTCTGCTAGCAGCAGGATGATGGAGCTCTGAGTGTTAGAACGCTGCTCGCCAAACTCAATWCAAAATCGCCACAAAACGACATTTTCTCTTCTCCCACTCAAGTCGCGCTGACATCGATTACAAAAATACCAAACCTACTGAAAACTATGACACGGCCTGTCAACATCGGCGCGCAGGTCACCAACCAAAATCCAACATAAAATGAAAGAAAGCTCAACATTTAGACTGGCCGACACTGCGCCCTTTTTTTTTTWTATATCTGCGGATTAAAAAGCAAAACATCCGGCAACAGAACAAAGGAGCCCTTCCTGCTGGGAGGAGGTCCAGACTCCCAGCAGGAGCAGAGAGGACATGGGCACACATTTATGATGTCTGATGAGTTTGTGCAGAGAAAAGGTGGATGATGAGGTCACCTTTTGTCTTTGAGATACATCCCAAAGCCTCTCCAGTAGATCACTGGGCCTGTAGGACACACACACACACACACACACACACACACACACACACACACACACACACACACACACACACACACACACACACACACACACACACACACACACACACACACACACACACACCATGATGCTTTGGGCCGTGTCTGTTAGCAAAATATCTCATGAACCACTGGACATATATATTTTTAAAACTTATAAGTAATAATAATTTGATTTACTTCTAAATCAGATTGAATTTTGGAGCCAACCGGATTTTAGATGGATGCCAGCTCACCATAGAAAACACAAAAAGTGTCTATAATTCAGACAGTTTTGCAGATTTGGAGCTTAAATTTGGTGAGGTTGTGAGTCTAAACGTACTCTGGAGCAAATGGTGCTTYCACGTGTCAGAAAGCTTGGTCTAAGATCATGGGTCCTCCAACAGGGTAATATCTAAAAACAAAACATCTGACAGCTCTAGTGTTGCAGTTTTAAGTTATTTCAGTGAGACGTGGGGTTTTTCTTTCTTTAACGAAAGGGGACGAACATTTGTCCACAATGTGTCTTTTAAGCTGAGGATTACTGTTTTTTTTTTAATTATTATTTTTCCAGCACTAGTATTTGTTTTGTTTTTAGTCAAACTAAGGTTTTGTTTATTGTAGTGGAAAAAGAAATCTTCACAGAGAGATCAGGTAAAAGTATTCACAAACTTATTGAGCATTGCAAACCTGGCTCTGCTCAAAGTTTCAGCTGCTCTGCTGAGCAGAAAGAAAACAATCCTTTTATACAGCCTCACGTTATCAGACACAAAACAACCCCAACACTGCAGGCGTAAGACCTCGAACAGCATCAGACARTCGTCGTCATAAAACGATAAACATTTTTTAGGGTAAGGTCAGAATGTTCTTTTGTGACTCGCCCAACATTAAAGTAGATATTAATGATGAAGTTCTTTTCCTCATCATCTCAGTTTCATGACCGTAACACCCTGACCTGTTCTCTCTCTCAGTGTGTCGAGGCCAAGAAGTACTGCTGGTACTTTGAGGGTGGATATCCCATCTACTTCATGTAAGTTTCACCACTTCGCCGTTTGTGTTTTTGTCATTCCGGTCCTGATTAATGGGGTGTGATAACGCTGCGCTGGGCTCATTGTGTGTCCGTGTTGCAGCTGCAGCTCTGTGAGCTCGCTGACCCGCTGCCGATTGGTTTCTGTGTTTCAGATGTCGCTCGTACGAGGACTGCTGTGGGACTCGCTGCTGTGTCCGAGCCCTGTCCATCCAGAGACTGTGGTATTTCTGGTGAGCCACGTGTGTTCGGTCCCTACAAGGCTGGGAGCTAAACAAAGAATCTGTGCTGGACTCGGTGTCATGTTTGGGTTTTGGTTTAGTCGCACAGATCTAGTACCACACCACTAGGACAGCCTCTAATTCATATTATTATGAAAATATCATAATAAACTATTTTTCTTTAGTTAATTTTATTTTTAACAGTCAATTTTGGCTATTTACAGTGTACCACGAGAGAAACTGTTAAAAGACTTTCAAATTAAAGTACAAAATAGAGATTTATATTTCAAATTCAAGAGCTTTGATTATGCGTGTATTCAAAAGTAAAAAAGCCTAAATTTTCAGCTTGTTGTGAAGATATTGCTTGCAGAAACTGCTGCAAACTTCTTTTATTTTTTACAAGTATTCAGTGACGTGTGTTTGTCTGCAGACAGAGGAGATAAACAGCAGAATGTGTTGCCAGCTTAATCTACTAGATTTTAGGTCATCAAGATGGATCTTTTTTTCTGCTACAACAACCAAAATGACAAGCCTCATTTTTAAATAATTTGACCTAAAATATAGTTGATTTTGAACATCAGAGGGAAAACTGAGGGAAGCCACAACTTGACGCAACATCACTAAGACGTTCATCAGATTCTGGTTTTAAAGCTTCCTCCATTTTCTTAATCAGTATTCTGTGTGAAATGTAGCAGCCAGACAGCTGTCCAGCATTTAGCAGCTCAACTGTGTGTGTGTGTGTGTGTGTGTGTGTGTGTGTGTGTGTGTGTGTGTTAGAAATGAGGTCCAGGACTCTTTGAAGGGAGCCAGTTCTTGTGGATCTGTTCGTTTTAAAGAGACGTTCCGTTTTGAAAGCAGCGCCATCTGTAACAGAGTTGTACAGCAACAAAATATAAATACTTTCTTACTGTACTTAAGTACTTTTGTTTATCTGTACTTTACTGAAGTAAATATTTTCCAGCCAACTCTGTACATTTTCACACAATTATCAGAACTTTCTACTCACATTTTTAAAAAGGGTAAGAAGTAGAAAGTGGTTCCTTCTATTTTATTTTAGTTTTTTATTCAAAAAAATAAAACCATACCCA